AAAAAAAAAAAAAATGCTCATTGGGAGAGGGGACATGTCAAGAGATTGAGCAATGAAAGTAAACAAGGCCAGATCATAGAGTATCTGGTTTTTGTTTTGTTTTGTTTTGTTTTTAAGGGCAGAGAAATTCAATGAAGGTTAAATACAGCAGAATAAGTTGATCAGATTTGCATTCTGGAACTATTTTCTCAATGTGCTTTAGAGAATGGATCAGAAGGGGCTGTACTGGAAACAGACCAATAGAAGGCCATTGTATTTACATGGAGCGAAATGATTTTGGTGTCATTAAGTGTAGTGTCAGCGGAGATAGAGGAAAAAATGGGCAGATCCTAGAAATGAAATCGGTAAAACAGGATTGCTTAAACTGATGTATAAGGAAAGAAGAGTCAGGTGTCCCAGGTCTTTAACTTGGGTGGCAGGATAAATGGTAGTAGCATTCACTAATTTTAGTGGGCACTGAAATAGTGCAGGTGTGTGGGGAGGCAGGGTCATGAGTTCGGTTTAATCATGTTAAGTCTGAAGTGTCATTGGTATACCCAAATAGACATGTTCTCCAAGAAGTTGGAATGGGATTCAGAAAAGAAATCTGGACCAGAAGTAGAGATTTTGAGTGACCAAAGTAGAGCCGAATATTGGAGCCATGAGAAAAGGTGAGGTCATTCTAGGAAAGTGTGAGGAGAAGATATGTAGGGCTGAATGTCACCTCAGACTTTTTGCTATCTTTGGTTCAGTATTATCTTAAAAGTTGAACTTGAGTGCTTTAGGTAGGGCATGTACTCTCCTGTAATCCTAGTACAAATACTGTCTTCACTTGCTGCCCTGCCTCTGGAGGCATTTGAATTTGATTTTAGGGATGGATTGGGCAAGAATATAAACAAAGACCTAGTGTGTTCCGTTCACCAATGTGTTCCTTGCACTTAGCTCAGTGCCTGGCACATAATAATTCTACAGATATTTGCAGAATAAATGATTGAGCCAGTGAATGAACTGAGTGAGTAAGTGAATGCAAATGAACATAAAACCTCACAAGGGTGGGTAGCCACCTAGGTGGCTCAGTGCGTTAAGTGTCCAACTCAGGTCATGATCTCAGGCCCCGTGTCACTCCCTGTCCCTCCCACGTCACTCTCTCTTAAAAAAAAAAAAAAAAGACTTAGCTAGTTGAAGAAATAGGAGAACTGAGAGAGTGTTTTCTGTCTCTGATAGAGACTGTCTCAGGGGAAAGGGAAGTTGAGTGGTCAACCTTGTCATGTAAAAGGACAGCTGAAATGCCCGCTAGGTTCACTGACAGGAAGAAAGGTCCTGGCCATGGAGCGGCAGCTCTCGGTGCAGTAGTTAGATTGGGGACAATGAGAATGTAGCAGACTGAGTATAAGGAAACTGAAGATGAGCTTAAAGAATCTTGCTGTGGAGATAAGAAAAATGAGGTCATGGTAGGTCTTGTTGGAGAGCCTGTCGAGGGGACTGATGGCGAGGATGTGTGAGGATGTCTGTTTCCAGATATTTTTGGGGTACATATTTAATATCTTGCTGCATTATCACTGCTGATGTATGTTTAAGAACTTTTACCCTGCACTCTAACAATACATTTTAGTTGGTCTTTGGGGTTAGGATCGGCACTAATTTATTTATCTATCTATCTATTTATTTATTTATTTAAAAAAAAAAAGATTTTCTTTATTTATTTGACAGAGATCACAGTAGTCAGAGAGGCAGGCGGGGTTGGGGGACAGGAAGCAGGCTCCCTGCTGAGCAGAGAGCCCGATGTGGGGCTTGATCCCAGGACTCTGGGATCATGACCTGAGCCGAAGGCAGAGGCTTAACCCACTGAGCCACCCAGGCACCCCAGGATTGGCACTAATTTAAAGGAAAATATCATACATAAGAGGCTGATAAGGTGACATTGGAGGAAAATTCAGGTAACACTCAGTTGGCCTAAAGGGTGTTACAAAGGAATTTGTGAGTCAATTAGTTGACTTCTTAAAGTCCCTTATCTCTGAGTTTTGATGTTTACATAAAGCTCTCCTGGATACACAGTATTTTCATATTAATTTATCTTGCTGTGCTTTATTATTAGGAAACACGAAGGAAGGAAGGCATTGTGAAGCTGAAACCTCATGAGGAACCTCTCCGTTCTGAGATCCTTAGTGGGAAATTCACCATCTTAGTGAGTCTTTATGAACCCTTTGTGTAGTGTCTCATTACTTCCTTTTGTAGCTGTTGTCCTCTTTGGATTTTGTTCCTAGATACCTTTTCCTGAGTCTGAAAGTCTCAACATTCAGGAGCAAACATGAAGCAGTTGTGCAGTTTGCACAAAATAATTCTAGTGACAAGTGAAATTATTGAGAATCATTTGTACAGTAGGTCAAGCAGAGTTTCTTCATTGGTCCATTACAGTTAGTTGAGGTCTTTGGGTGGGTACACAGTGGTTCAAAGGTCTGTCCTTACTGGATTCTAGCTCTCTCCATCTAGACATCACAGCCTTTTGAATAAGTATACAATGGTACTTTTAAGGCAGAGCATGGAAACCATGGTTGTATTCTGTGGTTTTCCCCTGATGTGTGTTTCTTTTGCTATCCTATTGGGGAAATTAGCTAGGCAGCCAGTGTAGACCATCCTTTAATCTCTCTGCCATTGACAAATTAAGGGAATATAGTTTTTCCCTATCACACAAATAAGATCCAGGGGCTGCTAAGAATCAGGCATGGGATGAAATAAATATTCTTCTCTTCCTGATGCAAGTCAGAGAAGTATTGCCAGCATCTCTTCTCTTCAAATGAAATTTTTGACTAGGATATAAGAAGCCTAAGTGATTGTGGTGATTTTCTATTTCGTTTCTAAATATTTCTCATTTTATTTGCTTCTAGAATGTTCGGGACCCAACAGGAGCCTCCATTGCCCTCTTCACTGCCAGATTGCATCACCCCCACAAGTCAGTCCAACATGTGGTACTTCAGGCTCTGTTTTACTTGCTAGACAGAGCTGTGGATAGGTGAGCATGAAGATTATCTTTTAGTTGATCTGTATCCAGATGGGGCAGTGATAGTCCTTGACTAAGTTGATTAACTCAATAGTACCTTCACTGTGCTCCTAGAGTATGCCCTGGGAAGTGCTGTAAATGGAAAACATTCCATGTCCTTAAGGGCTTGGCATGTTTCCAGGTACTATCCAGATCGAGGGTATTCTTTGTATTTTTACCTGCTTGGCTCTATTTTAGGATTATAAAAGCTGAGAAAGCCAACTAACTAGTTATCCTCATTGTGAGAATTACTTATTGAGAGAATGTGAAGGGGAAATGACTTGTGTTGACCTGCTGCTCATTTGCTCTGAATATTGATTTTCTTTTCTTTCTTTCTTTCTTTTTTTTTTTTTTTTTGATTATTGATTTTCAAAACAATCTGGGGCCTCACTTTCTTTGTAAAACAGGAATAATGCCATTTAGCTCAGGATTTTGAAAATCAGCATTCAGGAGAGAAGAGTCCAAAAGTACAAAGTTAAGCAAAATCATCTTTATGAACAGGTTCAGGAGCAAAAAGAATTAGCTCGGGTCATTTCTCCTTCCCTTTCCAAGGTAATTGGTAATTTGACTATTTTAGGCAAAGAAACCGAAGCCCCAAGAAGTTACGTGACTCGTTTACAGTCATCGCATCTCATCGCAGTTGGGTTAGGGCTAGGATCCTAGTTTCTTTGCTCTTGGCCAGAGCTAATTGTACCCTACCATGTTGTCCTTTTGCTGTACTTCTTTTTTTCCCTGGTGAATGCCATTTGCAGTTTGTTGTTGTGCTGGATGTCATTGGCTAATCCTCTGGGCTAGAAGTGATAGTGAGAGACTAAGATAGTGAGAGACATCTATGCACAACTTCAGTCACACCGTGGACTTAGAGGATGCGGACAGCCAAATGGTTGTCTAAAGTGGGCCTCTCTGTCTGATTCACTTGTTACTGCCTTGTTAATGTTACTTCCATAGTATTTACCTTCTGCTTTTGTGCTAACCACACATAGCACCATTCTGAAAAAGAGAAGTTTACTAAGGTAAGGAGAGAGGACCAGTGGTTTCAGAGTCACTGTACTGCCCAATCAGAAGTATGAAATTTCTCAATTCTTTCCTGTGATTGGTCTTCAGGCGTAATTTCCAGAACATAGGTTCCTTTGAAATGCTTTAGCTCAAGAGAAATAAATGAAAGTCTCTTTTATCAGAAAATTCACTGGCCTTCCTTCATGGGCAGCTTACAGTCAAAGCACTCCTGTAGGCATGGCAGTGGCCAAAGTTTGCTCTTTCTAATCCGCGTGATCCCACAGGAAGACCGCACAGGTAAACATACTTGAAACTGTTTTCATGATGTCCACCCTTTTCTTAAAAACCCTTAGTGACTCCTCATTATTCAGAAGGTGCATATAAGATAAATAAACGTGAAACATTTTCTCCAAGCAAAATATTCTCACTAGTGAGTAGAAATTCTTTTTTTCCTATGTTAACTTTCACTGAGAACATGAGTAACTGGGAAGGGGCAGAGGGAGAAGCACATTCCCCGCTGAGCAGGGAGCCCAACACAGGGCTCCATCTTAGAACCCTGAGATCATGACCTGAGCCAAAGGCAGATGCTTAACTGACTAAGCCACCCAGGTGCCCCAACCTGGTTATTGGTTATTAATAATACCAATTATTTTATATTGAATTTTACACAGGTTTATGATGTAATTTATCTTATACTATTGTTTTCTATGTTTACCACTAGATTGTAAGCTTTTTAAGGGCAGGGAACCTTTTTCATATTATATAATAGAAAATCCTCAGATCTCTGTGGGTGGCATGGAAATGGTATCATAAACATCCACACATCATCTGTCTTCAGACTGATCTATAATAAATCTTGTTTCATTGATAGCCTTTCACCATCCCCTACTCTCAGTTATTTTAAAACAAATGTCAGGGACTGTGGTTTAAACATCTTGGTGTTTCCAGGTAGCATCTAGCTCAGGAAATCAAACTCAGTAGGAAAACAATTATTCTTGGTAAGGAATTAGCTGTCATTGTAAACCTCATATTCTGTACCCAGAAAAACAAAGATCCTACCACATTTGTATTTATTTCATGTGCCTTTACAGGATGAGCAATTTTTAGGAATATAGAATCTGCATCATTACTAACTGTAGCCTCTTTTTATTAAATTCTGTTTCCCTTGGCACCGACTTCTCTTTGTTTCAGTCCTCTGCCATAGGCTGGTGCTGTGAGGGGAAAATCTATAGTTCTTTGAATTTGGCCCTTGATGACCTTGTGGAGTAATGAGAAGCCTCTAGACCTGAATAGTCTACTCAGTAATTGTGCTACTCTTGTAACATCATCTTTGATCTTGGTGAATCATAGTCTCTCTGGAATCATGAAAAAAGGAGTCAAGATTTAGTATTAACTATAACCTGTCGAGACCATCTGAAACTCAGAAACTGCTGGAAAACTTGCATGTATCCCAGAATTAGAGATTTTTTAATTGCTACTTCATGGATGGGTACTTCCACCATGCCAAAAATTTAAGATACAAAATAACATTGAGATCTCTGATTTCAGGATTCTTTTGTGCCAAAAAATTTTCTAATTTTAAGTAGGTAGGAAAGCTATTGCTATCATCTGTGAGTAATCCAAACGAAAAATTTATTCCTAATGATCTTTTAGGCATGCCGATTGAAATAGGTAAGGATCTGTCTTGGTGGAAGAGTACAACTTTGCGAAGCCTTTAGGCAGTAAGGAGATTCAACTGAGGAATACTTTTTTTTTTTTTTTTTAAAGATTTTATTTATTTATTTGACAGAGAGAGACACACAGCAAGAGAGGAAACACAACCAGGGGGAGTGGGAGAGGGAAAAGCAGGCTTCCTGCTGAGCAGAGAGCCCGATGTGGGGCTTGATCCCGGGACCCTGAGATCATGACCCGAGCCAAAGGCAAATGCCTAATGACTGAGTCACCCAGGCACCTTATGAGGAATACTTTTCATATCTTCACATGTTTTTTGTTTGTTTATTTTTGTTTTTAGAGAGAGCCCATGTGCATGCAGCCAGAGAGGGGGAGAGGGAGAGAGAATCTTAAGCAGGCTCGACACCCAGCAGGGAACTCAACACAAGGCTAGATCTCATGACTCTGAGATAAAACCTGAGCCAAAATCAAGAGTCAGGTGCTTAACCGACTGAGCCACCCAGGTGCCCCTCTTCACATGCACTTAACCTCAGTATGGTAATAAGCTCTTACTTTTCAGGATTCTTTCCCCACCCTTTTTTAAAGATTTTATTCATTTATTTGACAGAGAAAAGAGAGAGCACAAGCAGGGGGAGCAGCAGACAGAGCGAGAGGCAGGCAGAGAGAGAGGCAGCCCCCCCTCCACCATTTTGAGCAGGGAGCCTGATACGGGATTCCATCCCAGGACCCCGGGATCAAGGACCTGAGCCTAAGACAGACGATTAACCGACTGAGCCAGCCAGGCTCCCTCTAGATGCTTTCCTAAGACCATGTATGGGTTTCTCTCCTTCCAAGTCCTAAGAGTTACATTCACCATCATTGAGCTTAGAATTTGTTTCATAGTTTGCCACAGGTCTGAAGTATTTTCTTAGCAGTGGCCTTCCAGGCCGACTAAATTCTATTCAGTAACCATTTATCATGAACCTATTTGCAAGGATTGTGCTAGGGACTGTTGGGAATTATGAGATGAACAAAACACGTTTTTGTTCCCAGGAGAGAATCAGATGGCTATACAGAGTTGAAGTGCTTTGGGGCACCTGGGGGGCTCAGTGGGTTAAGTGTCTGACTTTGGGTCAGATCATGATCTCCCTCTCCCTTTGCCCCTCCCTGCATTTGTGTTCTTTCTGTCTCTGTCTCTCTCTCAAATAAATAAATAAATAAATAAATAAAATAAAATCTTTAAAACAACAAAAACAAAACAAAGTTGAAGTGCTTTAAGAACCAGGGACGCCTGGGTGGCTCAGTTGGTTGGGCAGCTGCCTTCGACTCAGGTCATGATCCCAGCGTCCTGGGATCGAGTCCCACATCGGACTCCTTGCTTGGCGGGGAGCCTGCTTCTCCCTCTGCCTCTGCCTGCCATTCTGTCTGCCTGTGCTCGCTCTCTCTCCCTCTCTCTCTGACAAATAAATAAAATCTTAAAAAAAAAAATGCTTTAAGAACCACAAGGAAATCCCACAGGAAGATTTATGGGGCTACAAGGGACTTAAGGATAGCAGTACATTTTGATCATGGTTATCAGGGAGGTCTTCATGGAAGAGGAAGCTTTTGAGTTGAAGATGAAATGTTAGGAAGTTTGGATAGGCAGATTCAGAAACCTGGGAGGAAACAGTTCAAATTTTGATAACCTAGATGTTCTGGAATATTCTCAATTTAGGAGTTTGGCACTTGATAAATACGCATCAGTAAGCATAATTCCAGTTCCTACATGTGGGTTTTTTTGGCCACACCTCTAGTCAGTTCTCTGACACCAACTCTGTTTTACGCTCCAGCTCAATTCTGATACTGCCTGATAGATCCCACAGGTTAAAGGTTTTCAATCCTATAAGACTAGTCCCGTCCAACCCCAACTCCCACACACGATGCCAGTAGCAAGTTCAGTTTGTCACCTGTGCTTTTTATCAATGGGCTGTATAGATTGAAGTTTCCCGACTTGGGTACAGTGAAATTTACTACAGTGGCTCACAGAACTCAGAGAAACATTTTACTTACTAGTTTACCAATTTATTATAAAAGAACATAACTCAAAATAGCTAGATGGAAGGGATACATAAGAAAAGGTATGGTGAAAGAGCCCTAGAGCTTCCATGCCTTTTCTGAGAGGGCCCTCTTTCACTACCTCCATCTGAGAGCTCCAAACCCTATCCTATTGGGTTTTTATGGATGCTTCATTACATGAGCATGATTGACTAAATCATTGGCCATTTGAGATTGAACTCAATCTCTAGTTCCTTTCTCTTTCCTGGAGGTGGGGGAGGGTAGGCCGTGTGGGGTGAAAGTACCAACCCTCTGTAATCACGAGGTTGGTTCCCCTGGCAACGACCCTCTTTCTGGGACCCAAGGGCATTCCAGTTGTTGTCTCATTAACATCACAAAAGACACCTTTGACTCTTTCTGCACTTAGGAAATTCCAAGAGTTTTAAAGGAGCTCAGTGCCACCAATCAGGTTGAAGACTAAATATATATTTTTTTTATTGTAAAATCACAGTATCATAAGAAGTATAGCAGATACCAAAGATGAATCATATTTTTGTAAGACCAGTGTTCAGGGAGAGAGTTATTTTGGTCCCATAACTCTGTTTTTGTGCCCTAGGCTTTCAACCTCTTTCATCCATCTTATTGCTTATAAATGTTTTTGTTCAATGGTTGGTTTACAGCTTTGAAACTCAGAGGAACGGACTGGTGTTTATCTATGACATGTGTGGTTCTAATTATACCAACTTTGAGCTGGATCTTGGCAAGAAAGTTCTCAACCTGCTGAAGGTAAGACTGTGAGAAGGCCCCTCAAGTCTCCTTCACTGGTCAGGATACTTTATTCTTTGGGAGACTTAGGAATGATGTAAACTTCAGACATTATGTTCAGTGTAAAGGTCACCTGTAAATGATGACTAATATGTGCTTCCCCAGAATACAAAATGGTCTTAAAAGTGAAGCGGGAGGAATTAAAAAAGGAAATGCACAGGAACATTCTGAGTCATAAAGGAGTGTTGCCCCTTTCCTGGAGTTGTAGAATAACAATTAATGAAGCCCGAGGTATGTCCAGTGTCTGAAAAATGTCACCTAGCCAATGACTTTCAGACTTTTTGTCTCAATCTAGTCGGAAATAGGTTTTACATGTTTACATGTTGAATTCATACACAAAAGTATGTGTACACTAACCTATACACATACATGTGGAGGTCTATATATAGATAAGTTCTTACACTCTTATCCCAAACTCCCAGAAGTCCAGAGGTCTTTTGTAATCTTGTGAACTTTAAAAGATAATATAGTATATATACCACTTTATAATCAAACACATAAATATTTTTGCAATGAAACATATTATTCATAATGAGTGGAGAAGAATAAAGGCTATGATAGCCTATGGCATTTCAGGTCAGATCTTGCTGCTCCATGAATTTTTTTTTTTTTTTAAGATTTTATTTATTTATTTGACAGAGAGAGAGAGAGATCACAAGTAGGCAGAGAGGCAGGCAGAGAGAGGGGGAGGCAGGCTCCCTGCTGAGCAGAGAGCCCGATGCGGGGCTCGATCTCAGGACCCTGAGATCATGACCTGAGCCAAAGGCAGAGGCTTAACCCACTGAGCCACCCAGGCATCCCTGCTCCATAAATTCTTGCACTAAGCTTCAGAAGAAACTTCAGGTTTTCAGAGCTGTTTAGATTTCAGAGTCCCAGGATGAAGTTGTGTAGATGTTTACACAAAACAATAAAGCTTCACAAAACAAGCTTTACCCCTTACTATGTGCAGTCACTTTGATTTTTCAGTATCATATTTTTAAAAAGTTAGTTGTAAGCTACTAAATCAATTTGAGGACCCATTGAGTGCCAACTTGCAGTTTGAAAATCATTGATCTATGAGTCTATGCATGCTTTGTTCTAGGATCTAACTTGGCATTGCTGTGGAAGTAGATTTTTAGAAGTGCTATTAGAGCTTTATAACAGAGTATACAGAGGAGGTATTATTATTGTGTGTTGTTTTCTGGTAGTTCGTTGGTCACTCATTATATTACTAAAGTCACTATTATGGCATTTAGCTGTGATTCAGTTCTTTTTACTGATAAGGATGATATATGATTTTTTTTTCTTTACAAATATGGCATAGTAGTATGGCCAGTTATTATAACTTGCCATTTTTTACCTAACAGTTGTGTCTTCATCATCCTTCTATGTCAGTACATATAGCTATTACTCATTTCTTTTCTCTCTCACTTTTTTTTTTTTTTTTTTTTTTTAAAGTAAGCTCTACACCCAACCCTGAGATCAAGGGCTGCGTGCTCTAGCAACTGAGCCAGCCAGGCACCCCTTTCCTCACTTTTTCTAATGGCAGCAGAGTATTCTTTTTATGGATATATCAAGCAGAAAAAATGAAGTTCATGCTATTTTTTTGTGTTATTATAAAGGCTTCAGTGAGTATTGTTTTACATATTTTTGTCTATTTGACCAATCATTTCTTCAGGATAAATTGCTATAAACAGATTTGTAGGGTCAAAGAGTTCACACATTTAAATTTTGGCAAATATTGCCAAGTAGCCCTCTAAAAACTTAGTTCAGATTTACACTCCCATCAACAGCCTTTTTCACCAGTCTTATCAATATTGATTTGTTGTTTGGATTCTAATCATGTTCGTGTTTTTGTGGTGTTTCTCTTATTACTGATGAGCTTCAGTGTATTTTCATGTTTATTGCCAAGAGGTATTTACAAATTTTTTTCTTCTCATATACTTTACTCAATTTTTTAAAAAGATTTTTAGATTTGTTTTAGAGAAGAGTGTGCACAAGAGCGAGTACACACAAGTTGGGGGAGAAGGGCAGAAGGAGAGGGAGAGACAGAATCTCAGAGGCCCCTCTGAGCCCAGAGCCTGGGGCACCACCCTGAGATCATGACCTGAGCCAAAACCAGGTGTCAGTTGCTCAACCTACTGAGCCATCCAGGCGCCCTCATATACTTTACCCAATTTTTTACCAACATGTTTATCTCTTACTAATTTATAAGAGTTGTTATTAAAAAATATTAAGTATGTGTTACCAACATTTTTTGTAGTTTCTTACTCAAATTTACAGTGTCTTACTGTAAAATTACTTTACTGTAAAATTACTCTTACTGCTATGTTTTCATTATTTTTCATAATGATTTTCATATACTATATATGCTTTATTCAATAATATATATCATATATAATATATAGTATTATAGATCAAATAATTTGCTTTCAAACAGCTATCCGGGCAACATTTACTAACTACTACATTTTTTCCCTACTCATTTGAGATAATACCTTTATATTACACTAAATTCCCATACGGTAGGCATGTCTCTTCTGACACTCTATGCTATTGATCTAGCCCATCTAGACCAATATAAGCATGGTTTTATTTATTATACTCCTAAAGTTTACTATCATAGGTCAAGCTTTCTGTCACACTGTTTTTTCTGAAAGTTGTTTGACTATATTTTTTGCATTTTTATTCTTTTTACATGGACTTTTGTGAACTTTTAATTTTTTTTTTTTTAAGATTTTATTTGAGAGAGAGAGAACAAGTGAGAGAGAGCATGAGGTGTGGGAAGAGGCAAAGGGAGAGAGAGAAGCAGAGTCTCTACTGAGCAGGGAGCCCTTCGCTGGGCTGGATCCCAAAATCCTTGGAATCATAACCTGAGTTAAGGCAGACACTTAGCCCACTGAGCCACCGAGGTGACCCTTATTTTATTTTTAAGTAATCTCTACACTCACAACCCTGAGATCAAGAGTCGCATGCTCAGGGATGCCTGGCTGGTTCAGTAGATGGGGGGGTGAGATTCTGTATCTTAGGGTTGTGAGTTTGAGTCCCATGTAGAATGTAGTGATTACTTAAAAAGGGGGGGGATTGCATGCTCTACTGACTGAGCCAGCCAGACACCTCCTATTTCTTTTTTTTATTATAAAAGCAATTCAAGAAAAAGTCTCTGACCCTCTCCCTCAGATACCCCAGTGCCATTGCACTTTGTTAAAATTTTAAATCTAAATCCAATGAGAAAAAAAAAAATTTTTTTTTAAAGATTTATTTATTTGAGAGAGAGAACGAGCTGGGGAGGGGCTGAGGATCATGACCTGAGCTGAAAACAAGAGTCTGACACTCAGCCTACTAAAGCCACCCAGGTGCTCCTTATTATGTCTTTCAACAAAGTTTTAAAGTTATTTTATCTATGTGTCTTATGTAGTTTATTCCTAGGCTAAAAAAATATATTCAAGTATTAAAAACACAGAAGACACCAAGGATAAATTATCTTTTTGTAATACTAGTAACTTACAGGGAGAAAAAGAGAGGGATAGAGATAGTGTATATGTGTTCAAGTGTTACTATAAGTCAGATGTTTTTACCATTATAATTTTATGCTGATTATTATTTATAGGGTGGCTGATTTTTTTCATGATTTATCTTTTATACTTAAAATACTGTTATAATCAGAAAAAAAATTTTATCGTAGAAAATTTTGGACAGCTCACATCAAGATTTATATTATGCATAAATAAACACTGTTGACATTTTGGCGTATGGCACTTCTAGATGTTCCTCAATATGATCTTAATTATGTTTGTTTGTTTGTTTTTTTAAAGATTTTATTTATTTATTTGACAGACAGAGATTACAAGTAGGCAGAGAAGCAGGCAGAGAGAGAGAGGAGGAAGCAGGCTCCCTGCTAAGCAGAGAGCCCGATGTGCGGTTCGATCCCAGGACCCTGGGATCATGACCCAAGCCAAAGGCAGAGGCTTTAACCCACTGAGCCACCCAGGCGCCCCTTAATTATGTTTGTTTAATTTCAATATACAATAAGCTCCAAAAAGTTTATTTATTTATTTTTTTTAAAGATTTTATTTATTTATTTGACAGAGAGAAATCACAAGTAGGCAGAGAGGCAGGCAGAGAGAGAGGAGGAAGCAGGCTCCCTGTTGAGCAGAAAGCCTGATGTGGGGCTTGAACCCAGGACCTGGGATCATGACCTGAGCCGAAGGCAGCGGCTTAACCCACTGAGCCACCCAGGCGCCCCCAAAAAGTTTATTTTATGAATATTTATAATTGCTAAATAATAATCTATCCTGTATTTACTATAATTTATTTAACCATTTTTGTGTTGTTGGGTATTTTTTCCAGTCTTTTATAATAAACAGTTTTTCAACACTTTTATATTCTTATATCTTTTTAAAATATTTTATTTGAGAGAGAGAGCATGAGCAGAGGAGAGAGAAGCAGGTTCCAGGGAGCCAGACATGGGACTCGATTCCATGACCCTGGGAGCATGACCTGAGCCGAAGGCAAGATGGCTAACCAACTGAGCCACCCAGGTGTCCCAGGATATACATTTTTTTTTTTTTTTTTATGATTTTATTTATTTATTTGACAGAGATCACAAGTAGGTAGAGAAGAAGGGAAGCAGGCTCCCTGCTGAGCAGAGAGCCTGATGTGGGGCTCGATCTCAGGACCCTGGGATCATGACCTGAGTGGAAGGCAGAGGCTTTAACCCACTGAACCACCCAGGTGCCCCCCCAGGATATAAATACTTTAAATAAGGTTGTAAAAAATAAAAGTAATACAAAGTATTACAGAAAATAAAAGAATAAAATTAACTCATAATTTTTTCAGAGATAAACTGTTTAACTTTTGATATAATTCTTATCTTTTTTCTCTGTGAAAGTATAAATTGTGTAATTTTAAAACAAAATTAAGGTTATAGTTTTGGTCCTGTTTAGTTTAATTAAGATTATATTATGAACATTTTCCATAGTTGCAAAATAGTCTTTGACATTTTAATTTTAATGGTTATACACTTTTTTTTTTTTTTTAAGATCCTATCCATTTATTTGACAGACAGAGATCACAAGCAGGCAGAGAGGCAGGCAGAGAGGCAGGCAGAGAGAGAGAGAGGAGGAAGCAGGCTCCCTGCCGAACAGAGAGCCCGATGTGGGCCTCGATCCCAGGACCCTGGGATCATGACCTGAGCCGAAGGCAGAGGCTTTAACCCACTGAGCCACCCAGGCGCCCCAATTTTAATGGTTATATAATAATTTTTTTTAAAGTCAATTTTGAGGATTTTATTTATTTATTTGACAGAGGCAGAGATCACAAGTAGGCAGAGAGGCAGGCAGAGAGGGAGGGGGAAGCAGGCTCCCTGCCAAGCAGAGAGCCCGACTTGGGGCTCGATCCCAGGACTCTGAGATCATGAACTGAGCCGAAAGCAGAGGCTTTAACCCACTGAGCCACCTAGGCGCCCCTATATAATAATCTTATTATAGGATAATACAATTTTGTTAAGCCCTACCCCTTTCAGACACATACATTCTTTCCAGTTTTATCTATCTATCTATCTGTCTATCTATCTATCTTAAAGATTTTACTTGACAGAGAGAGACACAGTGAGAGAGGGGACACAAGCAGGGGGAGAGGGAGAAGCAGGCTCTCTGCTGAGCAGGGAGACTGACAAGGGGCTTGATCCCAGGACCTTGGGATCATGACCTGAGCCAAAGGCAGACGATTAATGACTGAGCCACCCAGGTACCCCTTCTTTCCAGTTTTAAAGTACTGTTTTTAACCACCAAAAAGAAGGGTGCAAGGGGCGCCTGGGTGGCTCAGTGGGTTGATGCCTCTGCCTTCCGCGTGGTCCTGGGGTCCTGGAAATAAGCCCCGCATCAGGCTCTCTGCTTGGCGGGGAGCCTGCTTCCTCTTCTCTCTCTGCCTGCTTCTCTGCCTACTTGTGATCTCTGTCGGGTAAATAAATAAAATCTTTGGGGGAAAAAAAGGTGCAATAAACATTTCTGTTCATAAATTTTTGTGTTTCTGGTTATTTCCTTAGGGTAGAATGTCAGAAATGGAATTACTTGATCAGAGAATATGCACATTTTTAAGGATATATAATGCTAGATGCCTTCTAGAAGATGTAACCATTTCCCATCAACAGTGTATGTGGATGCCATACAGTCATTTAAATGGAACAAGCCTGAGTGTGTAGTTCTTTGCTCTGAAGAAGTAGATATAAAGGCTTCCATTTTTTAATTTATCATTTTGTGGAGATTTAGGTATTTTTCCAGACTGTTTTTTTGACCTGGCAGGTGCCTTGTCTCTTTAGGCCCTGAAATAAATTGTTGTCGTTGTTATTTAAAGGTTTTATTTGTTTATTTGAGAGAGAGAGTATGCATGTAGCACACGTGTGCAAGCACAGGGAGGGGCAGAGAGAGAGGGCGAGAGAGGATCTCAAGTCGACTCTGCACAAGTCTGCATGGAGCCCAGAGTCCAATGCGGGGCTCCATCTCACGTCCTGAGCTGAAACAAGAGGCGCTTAATCAACTGAGGCATCCAGGCACCCTGAAATTATTGTCTCTCAGACTTTAGTGAAGAGGAGTATGGAAGATTTTGTTCTGGATACTGTATATTCTCTATAGGGTATGTTTGTGGACCCCCCAAATCAGTGGAAGAGTAGCCGGAGAGTGACATGTCAAATTGAGAATACGTCTTTTTTGAAAAAGAATAGGGAGAAAATGGTAGAAGATACTTAGCTACAATTTCCTCTTTTTTTTTTTGTTTTGTTTGTTTTTGATTCCTTGGGAATAATTTCTTCCAGTTAGAATGCCAGTATTACTTGGTATCCCTGCCCATGAGAAGATCTGGGATGTTAAACTAAATGAAACCAAGAGCTGTGAATTAGGAAAGAATAATTTTTTATTTTTATGCTTTGTGCGGATCAGGGTGTCTCCTTCCCTTTAGATTTCATTGTGCCCACTAGATTATATTTATCGACTGAATAAATGAATACATGACTAGATGAAGAGATGGGTAAAAAATAATTATAAATACGCAGAAGTCAGAATCAAAGGTTTTAAGAGAGATGTTTCTTTCATATTGTTTATTCATTATCTGATTTTTTTTTAAGTTTTTAAAAGATTTTATTTTATGTTTTTAAAGATTTATTTAATTATTTGAGAGAGAGTGCAGGGGGTCGGGCCTGGGAGAGCAAGAGAGGGTCTTAAACACACTCTGCTCTGAGTGCAGAGCCTGACATGGGGCTCATCTTCCAACCCTGAGATCACAATGTGAGCTGAAACCAAATGTTGGATGCTTAACCAACTGCACCACAGAAGTGCCCCAAGATTTTATTTTACTACACCCAACATGGAACTTGAACTCACAGACCCCAAGATCAAGAGTTGCAGGTTCCATGGACTGAGCCAGCCAGGCACCCCTTTCTTAAAGTTTTAATAAGCAGAACTTAAAGATGCACACATTTATGCTGACAAAAGTCAGTATCAATTTTTGATCCATAAAGCTTAATGTTGACAAGAAGGTAACATTATAACTTTTAAAAGTAAATCACTTTTTGGGACACCTCTGTGGTTCAGTTTGGTCAAGCGTCTACCTTTGGCTCAGGTCATGATCCCAGTGTCCTGAGCTTGAGCCCCACGTCAGGCTTTCTGCTCAGTGGGGAGCCTGCTTTTCCCTCTGATTTCCCTTTCCCCTCTGCCTGCTGTTTTCCCTGCTTGTGCTCGTTCTCTCTCTGTCAAATAAATAAACTTTTTTAAAAAAGTAAATCATCTTTTAATTTTTTATTAAGCTTTTCATTTTAATTCCAGTATAGTTAACAGAGTGTTCTATTAGTTTCAGGTATGTAATTTTTAAATTTTTAACCACTTATGTAGTTACTGAAATGAAACCTGAACTAGGCTTTAGACTCCCCCTGCTGGGTAAGGATGGGGAAAAGAGCAGAAAACCTACACTCTGGGTTTGAACAGTCACGGATTCCAGTGCCTTAATTGATATCTTTAAATTTTCATGTGTGTCCTCCACAGGGAGCGTTTCCTGCTCGTTTGAAAAAAGTACTGATTGTGGGAGCGCCAATATGGTTCCGAGTGCCCTATTCCATCATCAGCCTCCTCCTGAAGGACAAAGTCCGGGAGAGGGTAAGGCAAGCTTTATTTTATTTGTAGGTGGAGGTGGTTATTTGAAGGAGGTGACAGACTTCCCATTTCTGCTGTTGAAACCTGCCAATTAATTTTTTACCTTCAATAGAGTTCATCTGGGCTGTCTCCTAAAGTGCTTTCTGCTTCTATTAGTGTATCCATTTATATTTTCTGCTTTATTCTTTACTCAGGTCAGTACAGGCTTCCTTTCCCACTGTACTGCTAGTTCCTTGAAGTTAGGAGGTAGACATATTTTGTCTGGCACTCTCCCTCAATAGTATCTTGCATAAAGATAACAGTGAAGGAGTGTATTCCATGGATAACTTAGGAATAACTACTCCTTCCAGAATTTAGCCTAGTGCTATACCTGTGTATTTAACAATCTCTAATAGAATTGTATTAGTTGAACTGATGTTTGAATTTGTTCAACTGGAAATACTAATCTGTCCTTTGACCACCAGCGTGGTGGAGGAGAATCTCTCACTATAATTCTTTATATGTCTATTTCCATTCCTGGCATTTTCTCTTAAAACACCTTGTTGCTTCCTAACTTCAAAAATGTTGTCTTAAAAAAAAAAAAAAAGTGTTGTCTAAAATGATCTTAATTCTGTATCTCCTGAGTGTTCCAGGACTGAAAGGTTTTGGTTTTATTCATTCATTCATTTCTCACCCTTGAAAGAAAGGGCATATGAAACATTGACGTAATCTGATTATAGTTGTTATGAAATATTATTAGAGATTTTTGTAGTATAGAATTATGAGATTATATCAACAACAATATGGATCTTTATAGCAGGGGAGACTTGTGTTGGAGAGGGGAAACTGAAGACGTTTGGCTTTGTGGAAGTACTTAGGGACCTAGTGACTGAGAGTAGGAGAAATCTTTTCCAAGATACTCTTTGATAGGACTCCTCAGGCAAATTCTTGCACTTGTTATATGTAAGTATTAATGTATAATTAAGTATATAAACTTAAAACATATGAGCACCTTTACAGTCCAGGTTCTGGGCCCTGGGAATAAAAAAATGGAGTGAGACTTCGTTTACCTGTAGAGAGCTCATGTTCCTGATAGGGAACACACAGGTAGACATGAGGTAGACACAGAGTTGAGAATATTGTATTGAGCAGTCAGGGAGGGCTTCACAGAAGAGGTGAGCTTTGTAGCTTGTCCATGAAGAGGCCAAGGAGGAAAAGAGGGCATTCTAAGAAGAGACAACAGCAAGAGTGACAAGCATTCCCATTTCACACAGACTTTATGTCAACTAGGCCAGTTTTGTTCAGTAAGTAAGTGTCTAAGCAGAGAGCAGAATTAGGATTACTTTTCTGGCAGTTTTCCTGGGCTACCCTGTATCTGGGTCTAGTGTTATTTTCATAGAAAACTACCTTTGAGAACATCCATACTGAACTGTGAGTAAAGTGCCAGGCTTAGAGTTGGTTACCTTACTATGGGGTTGACCAAAAAAAATCACTACCTGTGCATTCTTAAAAATCAAAAAGGCAAATACCTGCATGAGATGTCACTGGGAAGCATTGTTAATAGTATAAAGGCTTTTGTTCAGTGTGCTTTCCTTTTGAGGTATATAAAAGGGCTCCCGGGACACCTACCTGGCTTAGTCAGTAGAGTGCATGACTCTTGATCTTGGGGTTGTGAGTTCGAGCCCCATGTTGGGTGTAGAGATTACTTAAAAATAAAATCTTAAAAAATGCAGGGACAAATTACAGGAGTGTATTTTATATACATTCTGGGAAGTCAGACCTTTGGGGAAATTATAGGACTTTAATCCCAGGCAGATGAAATGCAGTCTACTTCTTTTACAAGTATACCATCTATTTCAAGCAAATCTCATCCTATTCTTCAAACCTAATATAAACACATTTGTTCTTTATCTTCACTGTCTATGTCTTTTTTTTCCTGTCCATACTCACGTGGTTCTTTCTGGCTTTGCAGATTCAGATATTAAAGACATCTGAGGTCACCCAGCACCTGCCCAGGGAGTGCCTTCCAGAAAACCTGGGTGGGTACGTCAAAATTGACCTCGCGTCTTGGAATTTCCAGTTCCTGCCCCAGATGAATGGCCACCCAGACCCCTTCGATGAGATCATCCTGTTCTCCCTCCCTCCTGCCTTAGACTGGGACTCAGTACATGTTCCAGGCCCCCATGCCATGACCATCCAAGAGCTGATGGACTATGTTAGCACCAGGCAAAAGCGAGGGATATATGAGGAGTATGAAGACATTCGCCGTGAGAACCCTGTTGGGACTTTCCACTGTTCTATGTAAGTAAGAAAGGTTTGGACTGACGGTGGGTTACCAACATGCTACTGGTGCGTGCTGGCAGCAGCTCCATCCTCATCTCATTTCCTTAACAGAGGCTCTTGCTTGTGTTAGGAGCATGACTCTTACTCAGATGGTGGTTCTCTCATCCAGAAACAGGCACCTCCTGTTCTGGTGCCTGATGCCAATACCCTATATTCTGAATTTCTGGAGGTCTTTAGTACCATCCGGGGAACCATGTAATAATGGAGGCATTTTAAGGTATTTTTCTGAAATGCACTTGTTTGGGGGAAACAACAAAAATGTAGGTTCAAAAATGTAGGCTCTCAATTCCTGTTTTCATTGTGATCTCTGGTCCTTTTATTTGGGCAGTTTCTTTCTTAGAGCATTTATAGTATAACATTACTTTCTTAGGAGGGGTTCTGGTGCATTTAAAATAATCTACAGTCAGTAAGAGAAAAGAATTAACTCTTAGGAATTTGGCCTTTTGGGATTTTCCTTCTACAGAACTACCTGGCTAGTTTATAACTGGTTCATAACTTGGTAACTATTGTTGGCCATAGGGCATAGATCATTTCTCTTAACTGCTCTCATTTTACCCTGTTGTCACAGGCTGCTGCAGAAATTTCTGTTTCTTTGTTGAAAACTAGGGAAACTGTCCCAGGCTCAAGTTCCAACATAGCCCAAAATCCTTCTGTGGTTTATGCAGGTTATTTCCCTTGGCTGCACCCCAGTTTTCCTGTATGTAATATATGATGTTCGACTCTGATACTCACCTGCTTGTGTAGCTTAAATGTTTTAAGAATCCTTGATTCTGTGAATACCTCTTCCCCCTTGTAATTCCTGTCCAGCTTGGTCAGTATACTGTAAAGAAGATGCAGGGAGAGAGGCTTAGCCAAAGGAAAGAGGGGAAAGAATGAGTTAGGAAACGGATAAGAGAAGAGAGAAGAAACACTTGAGAGGAAAGTCAATAGAGCAAAATGCAAAGGGAAGAAAAAAAAAAGCAAGAAAGCAGAGCATATATCAAAGTAGAACAGAGTATCCTTTTCTCCCACATAGCTATTTCTTTCTTACCAGTTCACAACCTCTGTATGCATCCAGTCTTTGTCCCGACCAGTTCTTCCCCCTCTACTTTTGAATCAAGGAAGTATTATGGAGCTGAGAGGAGTACTGGGCTGCTCTAAGAGGATGCATACTTGTCTTGGGGATTCCTAACTTTGTTCTGGGGGCTTCTGCTGTGAGGTCCTTGAGATGTCATTTCTACCATCTCCCCCCTTCCCTCCATTAAAAAATCAGGTTTGGATTGTCCTCTTGGCATCATCCAAACCAGCCATCATGTTATAGTCAGAGAATACTTTTCAGTCCTATGGAAAGACTTGCTTGTCTTGTCCCTTGTTGAATGAATGAGTCTCCCACTTCAGGAGCTAGAACCCAGAATCCAAATTAGCTCGAGGTCTCTGTCTTACACTAAGTTCCAGTAAAACTGCTTATACAGAACAAACTATTTCTCCTTTGGATTTCTGGATTATGAAGTAGATATCAGAGTACTCATTGTTGTCCAGGATGCCCATGGACCAAGAAACTTTCTTTCTCTTTTTTCTTCTCCCCTACAACATATTTTGAAAATGATATTTTAAAATTTATCTTTTTATTATAATTGTAGATTCCCATGAAGTTGTAAGAAATAATACAGAGAGATCACATGTACCCTTTCCAGAGTTTTCCCATGGTGTCATCTTCTATAAATATAGGATCATATAGTATCACAACTAGGATATTGATATTATTATCCACCAGTCTTATTCAGATTTCCCCAGTTTTAGAGTGTGTGTGTGTATTTAGTTCCAGGTGATTTTTAGCCCACATGTTTGTTTGTATATCCATCACCACAGTCAAGATACAGATGAATTACATCATCGCATACCTCAGTCCCACCCCTCCCCATCCCTAATCCTTGCAACCACTAATCTGGTCTCTGTTACTATAGTTTTTTCATTTCAAGAATGTTCTTATATAAATAGAATCATACCATATGTAACCTTTTAGGATTGGCCTTTTTCCCTCAGTATAATTCCTTGGAGATTCACCCAAGTTGTTGTTACATGTATCAATCATTCATCCTTTTTATTGCCAAGTACTATTCCATGGTATGAATGGTTTGTTTAACTCTTCGCCTGTTAAAGGACATCTAGGTTATTTAGAGTTTCTGGCACCTACAAGTAAAGCTGCTATGAATGATTGTATCTAGGTTTTGTATGAACATACATCTGCATTGCTCTGGGATAAATGTCCAAGAGTGTGATGGTCATATGGTAATTAGATGTTTAGTTTGATGAGAAACTGCCCAGGTGTACCATTCAATGTACCCCTAGCAATGTCTGAATGATCAAGTTTCTTAGCATCCTCACCAGCATTTGCTCTTGCCACCACCGTTTTTTATTTTAGTTGTCATAATAGGTGTGTAATAGGTTGGTATAATTTACATTTCCCTAATAGTTAATGATATCAAGCATCTTTTCATGTGCTTATTTACCATCTGTATATTCTCTTAGCAAAATGTCATGCTTTTTTCCTTTTTTTTTTTTTTTTTTAAAGATTTTATTTGTTTACTTAACAAGAGAGATGCACAGGAAGAGAGGGAACACAAGCAAGGGGAGTGGGAGAGGGAGAAGCAGGCTTCCTGCCGAGCAGGGAACCTGATGTGGGGCTTGATCCCAGGACCCTGGGATCATGACCTGAGCTGAAGGCAGACGCCCAATGACTGAGCCACCAGGCTCCCCTCAATTTGGACTTTTTATTAAACTATTGAGATTTGAGTTTTTAAATATATTCTAGATATGGGTTCTTGGTTGGATACATGGTTTGTGGGGGTTTTTTTGTTTTGTTTTGTTTTTTTTGTCTGTAGCTTGTCTTTTCATCCTCTTAACATGGTCCCTGGTGAAGCACAAGTTTTATTCTGATGAAATCCTTTAATCAGGGTTCCCTTGTATGGATCACACTCTTGATGCCAAATCTAAGAACACCTAACCCTAAATTCCAAAGATTTTCTCCTTTTTTTCTAAACATTTTATAGTGTATATTTCACATTTATTTAAGTCTGTGATCCGTTTGAATTAATTTTTTGTATAAGGTGTAAGATTTAGGTTGATGTTGATGTTGTGTGTGTGTATGTGCACATGCACTTTCGCGTGCTTGTAGATATCCAGTTGCTCCAGCACCGTTTGCTGAAAAAATCCTTCCTCCATTGAATTGTTCTTGGGATTTTGTAAAATATCAGTTGGACTTATGTGTGTGGGAAGAGGGAATTTTTTAAAATATGGAAAAGGACAGAGTATAACATGATAAACAACTGTGTTTCTGTCACCAGAATTAATACTGACAATTTTTAATATTTTGTCATATTTGCTCCATCTTTTTTTGTTATAGAAAAGAAAGAATTCATTGTAAATGCCTTCCAGTCCTCATCCTCAGTTCTCCCCTATTCGCCAGAAGCTGCAACTACTATGAATAATGGTGCCTTTTCCTTCCAGACTATTTTGCTTATTCTGTTACATATTTGTTGGTAGCTATGAATAATAAAATATTATTTTATATTAGATAATATTTATATTTTAGTAATTTTTTGCTTCATCAATATATATACTTTTCCCCCCCAAAACAAAATAGTACCGAAGAATAGGAATGATAAAATTAATGGCAATCCTCTGCCTTACCCTTGGTTCCTCCAGGTATCCATTTTCAACTCTTTCTTTTATTTATTTATTTATTTATTTATTTTATTTATTTATCAGAGAGAGAGAGGGAGAGAGAGCGAGCACAGGCAGACAGAATGGCAGGCAGAGGGAGAAGCAGGCTCCCTGCCGAGCAAGGAGCCCAATGTGGGACTCGATCCCAGGATGCTGGGATCATGACCTGAGCCGAAGGCAGCTGCTTAACCAACTGAGCCACCCAGGCGTCCCTCAACTCTTTCTTAATAGCTGTTTCTTCTGATATTTCTTCTGTGATTCTAAATAAAATGCTTATAATACTCTTCATTGATTTTTATGTTAGGTAAGCATTTGGTTCTTATACCTTGTCTCCGGTTCACTTTTGACTGTTTTTCCAATAAAATAATGTCATATTTTTAATTAAATCAGTAGTCACTGTTTACATTATTATGACTATGTAAATTTTTCCACTATAGAACTAGATGGGCGGCTTCTATAACATAAAATATATTAAATTTTATCAATTCAATTTTTTGTTTCTTCTGGAGTTAATTACCTAACTTTTTTTTAAGATTTTATGTATGTATTTAAGAGAGAGAGAGCACAGAGGGAGAGGGAGAAGCAGACTCCCCACCAAGCAAGGAGCCCGATGTGGGGCTTGATCCCAGGACTCAGATCATGACCTGAGCCGAAGGCAGAGGCTTAACCCACTGAGCCACCCAGGCGCCCACCTTTGCAATCTTTATTGCAAGTGTAATCAACTCTGCCATTATAGTGTAAAAGAAGTCATAGATCGTACTAAACTGACAGGCTTTAGTTGTGTTTCAGTAAAACTCTTATTTACAAAAACAGGTTGGCCAAGCTGTAGTTGCTGACTCCTGCTCTAGAATGATTGTCTTATTTTCTTAATTTTTTTCTCACATTTTTCATCACTTTGACTTTTTGTTTTACTCTGGAAAATTTCTTCAACTTTCTTTTCCATCTCTCTTATTAAAGTTTTAACTTTGGATAGCATACTTATTTTCCAAGAGCTTTTCTTCTCTGTTCCTTTCTTATAGCGCCCTCTTCTTATTTCATAGATACAGTACCTTTTTCTCTCTGAGGGTATTAATTATAGTCTTTTAGAACTTACTTTTTCTTACTGACTCTCTCTTGTGCTTTTTCCTTACTATGTGTTTGATTGGTCTCTTTTTTGTGTTGGAGCTTTCTGTAATTATCTGGAGATCTCTGGCTGTTAATTTACATTATGGGGGGGGGGCCTTAAAAGCTGCTTGGAAATGCTCTTTGTGTGAGTGATCTGCAAATTTAAATGATCAGCTAGCTTGTTGTTGATGTACTTCAAGTGACAGAATTCTTTCATATAGGGCTATTCACTTTCTCCAGAGAAGAATTCTCTACTTTCTTGCTTGGGAGGGTCCAAACTTGATACAAGTATAGGACAGGAGAGGACAGGGCAGGGAATTCTCACTATCATTCAGATTTTCATTTATTCCTCTGTTTTTAACCCTGTGCCTCACCTTGCTTTCCAGGGTGTGGGAGTGGTGAGAGTGAGTCATTGTGTCTCTCTGTAGATACCTCTGTGGGTCCTAGTTTTCTGCATTTGACCAAGGCAGCCAATATTCCTCCATCTGTTTTCTCTCTGCCAAATGGATTTCACTCTTTGTTTGCGGATGTCTCTGCCATCATTTTGGGGTTTGTACTGATTAGTGCCTTTATTGTGATTTTACTAGATTAAGTGGACAAACATATGTTGTCAACCTACCATATTAAACTGGAACTTAGGTTTCTTAGCAGCCAGATTTTTTTTTGGTGCTGTCTATTCCCCTATTTCCCTCTCATTTTCTCTTTCTCTCTCTCTCTCTCTTTTTTTTTTTTTTTTTTTTAAGATTTTACTTATTTATTTGGCAGACAGAGATCACAAGTAGGCAGAGAGGCAGGCAGAGAGACAGAAGGGGGAAGCAGACTCCCCGCCGAGCAAGGAGCCAGACTCAGGGCTCAATCCCAGGACCCCAGGATCAGGACCTGAGCCTAAGGCAGAGGCCCAACCTACTGAGCCACCCAGGCACCCCTCATTTTCTCTTTCGAATGAAAATATCTTTATTTGCCCATGAATACACACATATTAAAAATGATAAATGAGGGGCCCCTGGGTGGCTCAGTCATTAAGCATCTGCCTTTGGCTCAGGTCATGATCCCAGAGCCCCGCATCAGGCTCCCTGCTCACTGCTTCTCCCTCTCCCACTCCCCCTGCTTGTGTTCCCTCTCTCCCTGTCACTTTCTCTGTCAAATAAATAATTAAAATCTTTTTAAAAAAATGTTAAATGATACAGAATATGGATAGATTAGATCATTGCTCCATGTCTTCAACACCAATGGTAACGGTCACCCACCTTTGCGTTGCTGGACTTTGTATGTACAAAGTCCATACAAAGTCCACACTCCTTCTGCCTTTTCTGTCTTTGTTTTAGTTTGTTTGTTTCATTTTCTTCAGGTCTCCAGGAAACCTAGAGAAGAACCGCTATGGGGATGTACCCTGCCTGGACCAAACTAGAGTGAAATTGACCAAACGAAGTGGTCACACTCAGGTACACAGATAAGTGCTATCTTTTCAGGAGCACTGAGGGAAATTTTCCAAAGTGAAGCTTACTAACGCCATAGTAGAAAGAACATGAACTCTACACTAGAGAGATCAGGTTGGAGTTTTAACTTTGCTGTGTATGAGTTAGTCTGTTACCATAAGCAAGTCCCTGTAAGTCCATCTCACAGGACTAAGTGGAAATTAAATGGAGAACTTTATGTAAATGCTGATAGTGCAAGGTCTGGTATATCATAGGTGCTTGATAAATGTCAATTATTTCTCCTTTCACTCCTTAGTTGTAAAGTTTTAGTCCTGTTGTCCACCATATTAGTGAATGTATATGTATCAATACAGGGCAACTCTAATTAAAGTGACCTGTGATTTTTCCACCTAGAAGATCTAAAAATAATTTTGGACAACTAGTGTACACATAAGTATCTAGGGATAGAGTTGAAATGGTCAAGTGATTATATTACTTAATATACTAATTTGATCATATCTGTTCATATTAAAAATCACATGTTTATACTAGTATAGATATTTAGTGAAACTCCTCACATGCACCTTTAACATCAGTGTCTTTGTCCTCATTTGAGCCACTTCCTGAGTCAGTCTAACAGTTTTCCAGAGCACACAGTTTTTACTTCTTTTTAAGTATATGGTATTGTCACTGAAAAATTTATCCTAAACCAGGAAAGTCAATTAGCATAACATTAACACAATTTATCCTTCCATTCATCCTGTATCCCATGTATTTTCTGTAGCATGATTATTCACTTACTGTTTTTTAAAGTCCTCTTCACAGCAACATCCAACACTTAGAATTTTGAGGTCAGCAACCAAGTATGTGTTACATTTCTTCTTTTTCCTTTGGATATGCCAGTTCTGTCTGGTGCCCTTCATAGGCATCAAAAAAACAGCATTGATTGAGGCCATTGTTCAAAGTAAATGAATTTAAATAGTGCCCCTTTAACATGGCCACACACTTTAGGAGCTTGTTACATCCCATCTCTTTTTTCTGGGGGATAATTTTTGGGAAAATTATTGCCTTGTATTTGGGTATATATGATACGTGGATTGGGACCCTAGGATCATGGTTTCCAGTATATAAACTGAGTTCAATTGCTTCTTGGCCTTTTGGCTAAGATCATGTGTAAACTGAATTCATAGCCTTGCCCAGGACCCTTACGAAAGGGTTTTCCTACAGGAGCATTAGCTCAGAGTCTGGCCAGCTTAGGGGAAGTTCATGACTATTACTGAGATCATCAAGTATATACTCTGAATGAGTGGAGTATAATGGTTGAGTTGGGACTCTGGAGTCAGATAGCGGTATTTATCTGTCTTCTTGACTGCTGTGTCTCCAGTACCTAGAACAGTACATATCAGGCCTTCAGTAAATTATTTCTGAAGGAATTAATGAATCCCAGTATACCACCAGACTGTTCCAGTCATCCTATGATTAATCTAAAGATCATCACTTGAATTAAACTCCTTTCATTACTGCAAACATTGGCAGGAGCTTTATTTCTACAGTAAATGGTGGATTCAGGTTTATTATTGAATTGGTCACCAGATTTGCTCCTGGAATTATAAAGCTATTAGTCACAGTTTCTATTGAACGTGGCCCATAACATAGTGTACTTGGTTTGATTCTCTGCTATTTCAGTTTTCCCCCCAGTCTATACTTTATGTCTGAGGTCATTTTCAGTTTTTATTTCTGATGATTCTTCTGAAATGGCTGATTTTAATTCCCAGGGCTCTCAAAGACGAGGATACTGAAAGCTTGTATCCTTAGTTATAAAGAAATAGTAAGTCTCCATTAAAGTAGTGATATTTCTTTTCAAAGTGTGAAGGTAGCTCCAAGAGTAACAACTTATACATTACTTACAGAATAGTGTCAATTGGCTTGTACCAGGTAAATCCTTTGTATTTTTCTGTGCCTTCTTGCCTGGGTCCTACAGAGTATAGCACTTGAATGTGCCAGGCTAAGCAGAAGATAGCCTTGGCGGACTATAGTGGGCCCTGGATTACGCAGCCTGGTTGGGAGTGATTGAGGCTTAAGCTTGCTGGGTCTGCTGTAGGTGGTCCCTTAGCTCAGTGAAGATGTCTTAGCCAGTAGAACATTAGTAGTATGAGGTCAGTATCGACTGCTGTGGAAGGAGAAAGCAGGAAACCCTTGTCTAAATAATTAGTAATAGGGGAATCTGGGTGGCTCAGTCCTTAAGCATCTGCCTTCGGCTCAGGTCATGATCCCAGGGTCCTGGGATCAAGCCCCAATTTGGGCTACCTGCTCAGTGGGGAGTCTGCTTCTCCCTCTTCCATTCCCCCTGCTTGTGTTCCCTCTCTCGATGTCTGTCAAATAAATAATAAAAATCTTAAAAAAAAAAACACAAAAAACTAGTGATAGGATAAGTTGATAGACTGATTGGCTAACAGACACATATCCAAGTAATGTGGGTTTGACCATGACTGGAGAAGCCTTCTGAGGGTGGCTGTGGATACTGACAATTCAGACTGCCTTCCCCAAGTGATGGAACTCAGTGGAGAGAAGGTGACAGGTTTAGGGAGTCACTCTGACTTCCTTGAGTGGAGTGGAGTATGAATTTTCTCTAGTTTGACATTGAAACTTTGTCTTTGTCCTCCTATGCCCCTCCACATGGTCTGCTATTCATAGTACCTGCTAGATACTCTCAACTAGTTATACTGTGACTTGATACTGTGGCTGCATCTGTGGTTCTCTTCTATTAGCTTGGATTATCAGCAAGGGTGTTGGCAGAGATCTTGTGAGAAGATATAATAAAAATAATAAAAGTTAAAATCCTATTTAATTTCCCTGATAGCTAATGATGTTGAAATAAGACTGAGGACAGTAGGAGATGAGACAAGTCTCCCAGAAGACAGCGAGTCAAGATCTGTTCACTGAGGCTTCTCTAAATCTGTCTGGCTGTTGCTTTGTGTCAATTCAGGTAGTAAAGGAGCCTGGGAGTTTGGCCAGTGCTGTTGATGGTGCTAGATATGAGGTAGAGCTTTCTTCCTTCTCTAGTCACACTTCGCCTTTTGTGTGTGACAGCATAGACAGGATGTTCCTGCTCAGGGTGCTTAGCTTGCCTCCCTTTTGGTTTTGAACCAGTGCTGCAAATCTTAATGGACTCCTTTTTTGGAAAATAACAGCTTTATTGAGATGTAATTCACATACCATATAATTTGCCCATTTAAAGTATATAGGGGCACCCAGGTGGCTTAGTTGGTCGAGCGTCCAACTCCTGATTTGGGCTCAGGTCATGATCTCAGGGTTCTTGGATTGAGCCCCACGTCTGGGTTTGCACTTGGCAGAGGGGGCGGGGTGTTTCTTCTTGGGATTTTTTTTTTTTTTTAAGATTTTTATTTTTTTATTTATTTGACAGACAGAGATCACCAGTAGGCAGAGAGGCAGGCGGGGGGGTGGGGGTTAGGGAAGCAGGCTCCCCACTGAGAGGAGAGCCGGACGCAGGGCTCGATCCCAGGACCCTGGGATCATGACCCGAGCTGAAGGCAGAGGCTTTAACCCACTGAGCCACCCAGGTGCCCCTTCTTGGGATTTTTTTCTCTCCTTTTCCTTCTGCCTCTCACCCTATTCAAGTGCAGACATGTTCTCTCTCTCTCTCTCTAATAAATAAATAAAATCTTAAAAAAATAAAGTATATTATTCAGTAGTTTGGTTTTTGTCCTTTTTTAAAAGTTAGATTATTTATTTATTTAGAGAGCACAGGTGCTTGCAAGTGGGGGGTGGAGCAGAGGTAGAGACTCTCCCACAGACACTGTCCTGAGCGTGGAGCCCACAGTGGGGCTAATTTCTTGACTGTGAGATCATGACCTGAGCTGAAAGCAAGAGTTGGACACTTAACCGACTGAGCCACCCAGGTGCTCCTAGTTCAGTGATTTTTAAATATATTCACAGTGAGTATTTAATATATTCACCACCACAGTCAATTTTAGAACATTTTTATCACCTGAAAAAGGAACTCCATACCTTTGGCAGTCAAACCCCATTTTCTCCCAGTCTGTGTACTTTCTGTCTCTATGGATTTGCCTATTTTGGATGTTTCGTATAAATGGAATCATATAATATGTAGCCTCTGTGTCTGGCTTCTTTCATTTAGCATGTTTTCAAGGTTCGTCCTTGTTGTAGCATGTGTCAGTACTTCACTCCTTTTTATTGCTAAAAAATACTCTTTTGTATGGCTAGGCACCTTAATTTATCCATTCATCAAGTGAATACCATTTGAGTTGTTTCCATTTTTGGTTATTATGAATAATGCTGCTATGAATATTTGTGTGCAAGTTTTTCTGTGGACATGTATTTTCATTTCCCTCAGGAGTGAAATTGCTGGGTTATGTGGTAACTCTGTGTTTAACCTTTTGAAGAATTGCCAGACTGTTTTCCAACATGACTGGACCATTTTACATTCCCGCTAGGGATATATGAGGGTACTAGTTTTTACACATCTTTGTCAACATTTGTTATTATCCATCTTGTACCTGTAACCATCCTAATGGGTTTGAAGTGGTATCTCCTCATGGTTTTGACTTTTCAGTTTTGTGTGTGTGTGTGTGTGTGTGTGTGTGTGTGTGTGTGTGTGTTAAGAATTTAATTATTTATTTGACAGAGAGAGATCACAAGTAGGCAGAGACGCAGGCAGAGAAAGAGAGAGGAGGAAGCAGGCTCCCTGCCAAGCAGATAGCCCAAAGCAGGACTCAATCCCAAGACCTTGAGATCATGACCTGAGCCAAAGGCAGAGACTTAACCCACTGAGCCACCCAGGCACCCCAGTTTTGCAGTTTTTTTTAAGTAGTGTCCAAGCCCAGAGCAAAGCTCAACATGGAACTTGAACTCACTTAGTGAGGGCAGGACCTGAGCCGAGAACAAGAGTTGGATGCTCAACCCAGGTACCCCTCATTATGGTTTTAATGTGTAATTCCCTGATGGCTAATGATGTTGAGTGTGTTTTCATGTGCTTATTGGCCATTTGTATATCTTCTTTGGAGAAATGGCTATTAAGATCCTTTGCCCATTTTACTTTTTTTTTTTTTAAGATTTTTAAAATTTACTTATCTGACAGAGAGAGACACAGTGAGAGAGGGAATACAAGCAGGGGGAGTGGAAGAGGGAGAAGCAGGCTTCCCTCTGAGCAGGGAGCCCAATGTGGGTCTGGAGCCTATGTGGGTCTCGATCCCAGGAACTCTGGGATCATCACCTAAGCCAAAGGCAGACACTTAACGACTGAGCCACTCAGGTGCCCCTAATTTTTTTGTTTTTTTGTTTTTAAGTAGGCTCCACACCAGCATGGAGCTCAATGCAGGGCTTGAACTCATCACCCTGAGATCATGACCTAAACTGAGATCAAAAGTCAGATGTTTAACTGATTGAGCCACACAGGTGCCCCCCTTTAAAATTAGGTTGCCTTTTTGCTGTTGAATTATAAAAGTTCTTTATATTTTCTAGATGTAAGTCCCTTATCAAATATGTGCATTCTGTAGGTGGTTTTACTTTCTTGATGGTGTCTTTTTTTTTTTTTTTTAAGATTTATTTATTTATTTGAGAGAGAGAGAGAGAGAGATCACAAGCAGACAGAGTCAGGCAGAGAGGTGGGGAAGCAGGCTCCCCGCCAAGCAGAGAGCCCGATGCAGGGCTCGATCCCAGGACCCTGGGATCATGACCTGAGCCGAAGGCAGAGGATTTAACCCACTGAGCCACCCAGGTGCCCCTTGATGGTGTCTTTTGAAGCACAGAGTTTTTAATTTTAATGTAGTCCAATTAAACTGTTTTTTCTTTTACTGCTTGTACTTTTGATGTCATATCTCTAAGAAGGCTTTACCTAACCCAAAGTCACAAAGATTTAATCCTACATTTTCTTCTAAGAGTTTTATAATTTTAGCTTTTTTTTTTTAAAGATTTTATTTATTTATTTGTCAGAGAGAGAGAGAGCACAAGCAGGCAAAGTGGCAGGCAGAGGCAGAGAGAGAAACAGGCTCCCCCCAACCCCCACCCCGAGCAAGGAGCCCGATGCGGGACTCGATTCCAGGACCCTCGGATCATGACCTGAGCCAAAGGCAGCAGCTTAATAGACTGAGCCACCCAGGCATCCCTATAATTTTAGCTCTTACATTAGGTCTGTGATCCATTTTGAGTCAGTTTTTGTGTTCAGTGTGAGGAATAGGCCAGCTTGATTTTTTTTTTTCCTGCGCGTGGATATCCCATTGTTCCAGTGACATTTGTAGAAGCAAAGTTTTTTTGTTGTTGTTTTGTTTTTTAAGATTTTATTTAATTTTTGACAGAGAGACAGCGACAGAGGGAGCACAAGCAGGGGGTATGGGAGAGAGAGAAGCAGGCTTCCTGCCAAGCAGGGAGCCCAATGCAGGGCTCTATCCCAGGACCCAGGATCATAACCTGAGCCAAAGGCAGAGGCTTAACGACTGAGCCACTCAGGCACTCCTGTAGAAGCAAAGTTTTGAATTGATCCTTTTGCTCCTCACTGTCTTCCTGACAGGAAGAGAATATCTACACCTTGGGTTTTATTTACCTTGTACATAATTTTTCCCACCCAAATGGTGTATTTCACACAGCTGCAATGATATTTCCTTTTTATCATTAGACAGATTACATCAATGCCAGTTTCATGGATGGCTACAAGCAGAAGAATGCTTACATTGGTACGCAAGGTAAGTTAGGATGCTCCTTACAAGTTGGTTTTATGTCATCTATCTATGATTTCTTGTACCTGATGATTGCATTCCTTTTGAAGGCTATGGTAACTTGAGGTGATGTTGTGGCCACTAGATCCCGGCCTTTCATAATGATTGGGGGTTATTGAGGAAGGCAGAGGAGAGGTATAGAGTTTCTGTACCAGATATGCCTGGAAGCTCACTGCATAGAGATAAATGAGAGATTTGAACATTCAACACTACTACAAGTTTTAGGATTATGCATTGCCAACCTATGGGAATGGGACATCAGAACTCACTGGCCTGTGAAATGTTCTTTATGTCCAATAGGAGGCCAGGAATGGCAGTGGGAATTCTCAGAGATTGAGTCCAGTCTGTAAAAGGGTGTTGCTGTCCTAAGTGACTTTTGCTTGTTTTTGTAAATCAGAGAGCACCCAGAAGTCTTCTGACATGGATAGTCTATACTAGGTCTAACAGTGAAGATTTCAGACAGAGTTTCTACAAATGCTTCTGTAGGCCCCAGTTCCTCCTAACCTGGCCTCGGCCATCTGAAGGAGAATACCAAGTTGTCTTCAAAGAGGGTGGGGAGAGATCACAACACAGGAGGACATAAGAGGCTTTGGCCATTGCAGAGCATGACCAGCAAAAGATCTGGCAGATACCTCCTTAGTAAGTGATCAAACTTAGTATCACCAATAATAGGTAGATATTATGCCTCTATTGTGATATAGTGAGACTATACAAAATAACCTTTATTGTTTGTTGCCAGTGTTGAAGTCTGAATCGTGAAAAGTAAACCAGACAAATCCAGATGGGATGGTGGGACATACTATTAGAAAACTGGCTTAGACTCTTCAAAGTTAAAGCCATGAAAAACAAAAGCAGGAAACTGTTCTAGATTAAAGGAGACCAAAGAGACATGATAACTAAAGGCATGTGCCCATTATTGGAACTTCAGTTTAGAGAAGAAGACTATTAAGGACAAACTTGAGATAAATGGAGACTATATGTTAGATAATATTACTGTATCAGTGTTTAATTGGTTCAGTATGACAACGGTATTGTTCTCTAGGAGAAAGTCCTTGTTCTTCTAAATATGTGCCCAAGTATTTAGGAATAAAAGGTCATAATTTCTGGAACTAATTTTTAAATAGTTACAAAATAAAAAGTATGTGTATTTATCTATATAGAGAGAAATAAATCTTGTAATGATAGCTAAAAATCATAGCTTTAAAGCTCAAGAATTTATGAGTACATTGTAGTATTCTTCCAACTTTTCATTGGTTTCAAATTTTTCAAATTTGATATATTATTAATTGGTCTGATGGTCACAGGTTTATATTTCCCCCCCTAGGAGGGACCACTCCCTCCAAAGGGAGTCCTTTCAAGACCTTAAGAAGAAATTAGAATTATCAGGAAAAAATTTTGGCATATACAATATGATATGATCTGCCTGAGAGTAGGGGCTTTGTTGAGGAGGATGGCTTTGGCAGATTGGGTTTATGGTGGATAAGGATTGGCTCAAGGGTACCCCAGAATGCTTCCTCCTCCAGGTTTAGAAGGCAAAGCTACCACTCGGAGTTGCAGGAATTGGATTCTTTAGGGTGGCTTTGAAGGCCCTATCCAGAAGAGACTCCCCTAAGAGTATGAGAAAGACATTTTTTTTGAAGATTTTATTTTATTTATTTGACAGACAGAGATCACAAGTAGGCAGAGAGGCAGGCAGAGAGGGGGAAGCAGGTTCCCCACTGAGCAGAGAGCCTGATGTGGGGCTCGATCCAGGACCCCAGGATCATGACCTGAGCCGAAGGCAGAGGCTTTAACCCACTGAGCCACCCAGGCGCCCCGAGAGAGACATTTTGAGTCAAGTACAGATCACCTTTAGACAGCATCAGTACTCTCTTAGGACTGGAAGATGGGGTCCTGTGATGTGGAGAAAGCTAATTTGATTTGCCTTGCTAACTTTCTTGGCTATATTCAGTATTTTGATTCTTATAATACATTTCTACTAATAATATCTATTATCTGTTGAGAGTATCTATTATATATCGGGCTTATAATCTTCATCTAATTATTACAGACTCTGCAAAGAGGATTTATTAACCCATGAACAAACCCAAAGAGGTTAGGCGATCTTGGATTACACAGCTAGTAAGTGGCAGAGCCAGGATTTGAGAGTATGTCTTATTCAGAAGTCCTTGTAAGCCAAGCCAAAGGATTGTTGTGCCCATGTCAGCATAAACCACTGACTTGAGTTCTTTAGAAAAGTTGACTGTTAAAGAGTAATCTGGGAAGTGCAGCATTCTCTTCTAAATCTCTCTTATGCCTTGGAAGAAATTATGACCCCTCTTTGCCAAGCCTGAGTCTGAATAGGATCTGGGTTGTTAGGTGCTCTGATTGGCAACAGCATTTTTGCCAGTGATTTGAAGGTGGAAAATAAAGCATAGGAGTGCTGCTGTGGTGCAGGATAGTAGGATGTGGACAAGGCCAGGGTCAGTGATATGGAAAGGGAGTTCTCACTATCTTCTTCACATGCATACTATGGTAATGTAAATGCATTGTAGAAAATTTAAAAGATAGAGATGAAATTCACTCATAACCCTGAGACCCAGAGATAATGTTAACATTCTATAGCGTCTCTTTCCAAACTGTTTTCTTTCTTTCTTTCTTTCTTTCTTTCTTTCTTTCTTTCTTTCTTTCTTTCTTTCTTTAAGATTTTATTTATTTGATAGGCAGAGATCACAAGTAGCCAGAGAGGCAGGCAGAGAGAGAGGAGGGGAAGCAGGCTCCTTGCTGAGCACAGAGCCCAATGCGGGGGCTCGATCCCAGGACTGTGAGATCATGACCTGAGCCGAAGGCAGAGGCTTTAACCCACTGAGCCACCCAGGTGCCCCCAAACTGTTTTCTGAACAAATAGATGTAGACATATAAAATATCTAACAAGATGGATTCTATCTACTTGTTACCTAAAAAGGTAACAAGTGAACAAAAGTTCATTTGATGGTATCTTGTGAATACCTTTCCAGAGCAAAAATAATAGATCTTACAACATCACCTTTATGGACTACTTAAGCTGTGGATATGCCGTAATTTAACAGCCCTCTCTTGGTAGACATTTAGCTTGCTTCCAAAACCTCACATGCTTTTGGCAGTGTTCATTTCTGCCAAGAGGGAATTCTAGTGTCATAAAACATTAATACTACTAAAAGGCTTTAGCAAAAATGGTAGTAAAACCAGCAGACTTCCAGGACAAAACCAACCCTTGATACTGCCCTTCTTCCCTGAAAGCAGAGGAGGAAGAAGGACTGGGAAAGTACAGGGAATTATCCCAAGTTGTTACTTCCTTGATTTAAAGGGAGTTGGTGGCCCACAAGTATGTTCAAAGTTTCCCCTGAGTGCCCAGCCCTGTGAAGGTTCTAACTCTAAAAGGAGAACTCGACAATGTGGCTATTAGCCTCAGCACCATGTTTGATGAGATGAGATTTTTCTTACAAACTAAAGTGATTCATATAAGACCACATACATTAAATGGTTAAGCTGGGGTTTTTTTGTTTTTAAGATTTTATTTATTTGACAAAGGGAGATCACAAGTTGGCAGAGAGGCAGGCAGAGAGGTGGGGGGGGGGATGGGAGGGTGGGAAGCAGGCTCCCTGCTGTGCAGAGAGCTGGATGTGGGGCTTGATCCTAGGACCCTGAGATCATGACCTGAGCCGAAGGCAGAGGCTCAACCCACTGAGCCACCCAGGCTCCCCTGGTTAAGCTGTTTTGATCCAGCTGTGTCATCAAGAGCTGTCTATGTTGTGATGAAGCAAGTTTTTATTTTAGTTTATTTTTATTTATTTATTTATTTATTTATTTATTTGAGAGAGAGAGAGAGAGAGAGAGAGAGAGAGACAGAACAGGGAAGGGACAGAAGAGGAAGAGAGAGACTCTTTTTTTTTTTTTTTTTAAAGATTTTATTTATTGGACAGACAGAGATCACAAGTCAGCAGAGAGGTGTGCAGAGAGAGAGGGGGAGGCAGGCTCCCCGCTGAGCAGAGAGCCTGATGTGGGGCTTGATCCCAGGACCCTAGGGTCATGACCTGAGTCGAAGGCAGAGGCTTTAACCCACTGAGCCACCCAGGCGCTCCAGGAAGAGACTTTTAAGCAGTCTCTACACTGAGTATTAGAAAGGGGGCTTGATCTCACAACCTTGAGATCATGACCAGAGCCAAAATCAAGAGTCAGTGCTTAACCAGCTGAGCCACCCAGGCACCCCTGTGATGAAGCAAATTTTTAGAAAGATTCAGTTGGCAGGGGTATCCAGAATAGACTGGAAGAGGAGTCCTATTCAGAAAAATAAACCAAAACAGTACTGCAGTAACTCAGACAAAAGATGATGTGGTCCTTGTGGCTTTGAAGTTGGGTCGGGAGGGCATGATAAAAGCCAAAAAGAATCCAAAGGCAAAAAAGTCTCTAGAACTTAGTGACTGCTTCTGGAAGATAAAGGAAATGGGAAGTCAGAGTTGACTCCAACTTTTTAAGACTGAGTGATTTAAGAATGCCAATACTTTTTTAAACAGAGATGGGAAAGTAGAGAGAGAAGGCTAATTTTGAGGAAAGAGATTGATTCGCAAGCATGTTGGGCTTAAGGAGACCCATGACGGGACATGGAAGGGGATCGGTTTAGTAGGCTACTGATGATGATAAGGCTTTAGGGAGATGGAAACAGCTAGAGGCATGTACACAGTTGACACTGTCTGTGTGTACGTGCCGGTTCAAGCCCTGATGGTTAGACTCTTGGGAAGGTACATAACAGTATTTCTCAAACTGTAACTTACCTACAGCTTCACTTGGGATCTTGTTAAAATGCAGATTGCACATTTCTTTCTTTCTTTCTTTTTCTTTTTAAGGATTTTCTTTCTTTATTTGACAGAGATCACAAGTAGGCAGAGAGGCAGGCAGAGAGAGAGAGAGGAGGAAGCAGGCTCCCCGCTGAGCAGAGAGCCCGATGTGGGACTCGATCTCAGGACCCCGGGATTATGACCCGAGCCGAAGGCAGAGGCTTTAACCCGCTGAGCCACCCAGGCGCCCGCAGATTGCACATTTCTAATACTCTCTCATACAATGCTGGTGCTGGTGGTTCACGGACCACCCTGAATAGCAGGGATGCCCCGAGAAGAGCAGGGAGCCAGCATCTGTACTTTGGAGTTATTAGTTGAGGAAAAAAACCAGCAATTCCTGGGGCACCTGAGTGGCTCAGTGGGTTAAGCCTCTGCCTTTGGCTCAGGTCATGATCTCAGGGTCCTGGGATCAAGCCCCACATCAGGCTCTGCTCAGCAGGGAGCCTGCTTCCCCCCCTCTCTCTGCCTGCCTCTCTGCCTACTTGTGATCTCTGTCTATCAGATAAAGAATAAATATCTTTAAAAATAAAAACCCCAGAAATTCCTGAGAAGGAAAGAAGGGCTTCCAGGGTAATGTTCCTTGTCTTATCCTTCCATTCCAGGCCCTTTGGAGAATACCTATCGTGATTTCTGGCTCATGGTATGGGAGCAAAAAGTCCTGGTGATTGTCATGACCACCCGGTGAGTTCTTCCCCTTTCCTCCCTCTGCATTCTGCCTCCACCCTGTTCCCAAACATCGGGGATTCAAGAGGGGAGTTTAGCTCATAGAACAATGAGGATTAGGAAAGCCATGGCAAAGATCTTGAGATGTTTTAGCTTTGTCTTAGTTGACCCAGAATTAACAAAGCCAGGGTATGGTGGGAATTGATAGATCTAACTTGTCACAGCTTTGATCTAACTTTTCAAAATTTTAATCCTTGGCTCTGGTGACCCTGTGCCAGTTATAGGCTATTCTGAGGTCCTGGCCTTATCCACTAAAGGAAGTGTCAGCAAACGTGGGGCAATTCACTTTTAACCTGCTCCCTACTTCCAAAGGGCAGCAGTCTTCCTGGCTTCTAAATTACCAGTTTCCCTTTATTCTCTCCTTCCCTACTACTTTTGGCAGTTTTTCTGCTCATTCGTATTTCCACCTGTAAAAGAATTGTAAAAAGAGAGATGAAACATAGTTGGTCAGGTAGGAAGCTCTTGATGAAAGGAATCCTTTTGAAATTTTGGTCTACATATCTGCCAAAACTTGAGGAATTACAAATTCATTAGTATCATCATTATCATTATGATAATTAGAACCTATTTCAGACGAGGAGAAAAATGTTAATGAAAATGTTTGCTCAGTTCCCTTTCTCATGGCACAGTCACAACCACCTTTGCTTCGGAGAGGTGGTAGTACAAGAAGTACCACCTGGGAGTATTCGAGCCACCACAGGGCAGTGAGGGGGCGCCTGGGTGGCTCAGTGGGTTAAAGCCTCTGCTTTCGGCTCAGGTCATGAAATGGTATAACAGGCACCCAATAAATGTCTGCTAAATGAGTATATGCAAGAACGTTAGCTGTTGCTACCTCTGTTTAGAATGAAGGTTTCCCACGTTTTCTGCCAAGAAGCAAAGGTGTAAGTTAGAAGCTACGCAAGAGATGACATTGCTCTTCAGGGTACAGCAGATCATAGCTTTCTGCTGTGGAGAGGAAGGGTGGAAGGCTTACCTTGCTCTGTGTTGTCTTCAGGTTTGAGGAGGGCGGCAGGAGAAAGTGTGGCCAGTACTGGCCATTAGAAAGAGACTCTCGGATCAAATTTGGCTTCCTCACGGTGACCAATCTAGGCGTGGAGAACATGAACCATTACAAGAAAACAACGCTAGAAATTCACAACATAGAGGTAAATCCCAGTTTCTATTTTCTCACGGTTTTTAAGCTGGGGGAGAACTTTTATGGTAAAGGAAATTTCCAGAGGGAATAGGCAGAAATCCAGGCAGCTTATAAGTTAATTTCATTTTCCTGGGAACAGGATATGGATATTCAGCTCAGAGCCAATATACCCATTGTTGTCTCAGCGCAACAGTGGCATTACTTAGGAACAAAACTTACAAGAAATCTGGGTCCTACCTAGGGAATTCTGTCCTCTTCAGACGGTTAACCTTTCCTTTAGGCTTGTGGGAAAGCAATTGTGGAGAAAGTTGAGGGTGGTAGGCAGGAACCTCGGTGAGGATACCAGGGAATTGGGAAACTAGAAAAGCCAAATGTAGTCAGGGGTAAGCTGAAATGACCTCATTAACTTTTGCTTCTTTTCTCATCCAAGGAGCGGCAGAAACGCCAGGTGACCCACTTTCAGTTCCTGAGCTGGCCAGATTATGGTGTCCCTTCCTCGGCAGCTTCTCTCATCGACTTCTTGAGAGTAGTCCGGAAGCAGCAGAGGCTGGCTGTCAGCAGCATGGCAGCGCGCTCCAAAGGGCAGTGCCCTGAACCACCCATTGTCGTCCACTGCAGCGCAGGCATAGGCAGGACAGGTAATATACCTGATGACACGGTAGCTTACAGAGCATCCAGGGGTAGTAAAGATGGGAGAGAAATAACAAAGCTCTTAGTCGCTAATTTGTGAGAATTTGATCTATCAGTAGTGAACTGCCATGAAAAATTCCTCTTTAATGTCCTTTTGGTATCCCTGGCACCAGCTGTGCTAGCCACAATACATACTTCAGAGGCCAGGGCCCCGAGGGCTTGATGCTTTACACATCCCATCAGCATGATTATCTTCTGGCCCCATCACTGTCACCTGGATGTTCCAGAGAGCTCAGCTGGGCTATTGCTTCCTTCTGATCCCCCTCCCTAAAGAGATCCCCACCCCGAGCTGTGCTGTCATTCCAGAGCTAGTTAGCAGCTTTTACCTTAAGAGATGTGCATTGCAGGGATTGCTAGTCTTTGTAGCTCAGAGGTCACTTTGGGAGAAAGTCAGAAAGAATAGGTTTCTGTTAGGTCTTTGTGGAAGAGTTGTGGAGTCTCTGAAAAATTAGGGCCCTGGTGTAGGAATGCTGTCATTCTGTCTTGTCTAAGATTGAAGCAGGTAGTTCTTCTCTGTCACCTTCCCACCTTCTCTTCCTGTTACCTGCTGTACTATCTTGAGTCAAGAGGCTTCTCATTCCTCTGGACCCCCAGCACTCCAAAGTGACCTCCTCCTTGAATCCTTTCAGGCCTAAGGCCACCTGGCTACGTACCATGAGGCACCTTGCCCTTGAATTCATTCATCCAGCCTGTCTGGGTCGTTTGGTAGAGGGAAAGATAGACAGGAGAGACAGACCAGTTATGACCACTTCTTTCCTTCCTTCAGGTACCTTCTGCTCACTGGACATCTGCCTGGCACAGCTGGAGGAGCTTGGCACCCTTAACGTGTTCCAGACGGTGTCCCGCATGAGGACCCAGAGGGCCTTCAGCATCCAGACCCCTGAGCAGTACTATTTTTGCTACAAGGCAATCCTGGAGTTTGCAGAGAGGGAGGGCATGGTGCCCTCCAGTCACAACCTCCTGGCCATGGAGGGTCAGTAACTGTCCCACGATCCTCCTACATGCTGGCCAGCCTTCCTTAAACTACCCTGGACACCGCTGAGCCTATAGGTTGCCATCAGTTATGCTGAAGCAATGGACCAACCTCTTCCTCGTGTCTCCTGGCGCACTCGTGCACACAAGGCAGCCTTTCCCTTTGGCTAGATAGTTGTGGTGAAATTGCCACTCGAAGGGTCCAGTAGCAATGTGTTCTTAATTCCCAGCACCTGCTATCGAACTGTGCCTTATTAAAACCAAATTGTGGCTATTGGTTTTTGCCAGGGGCCCCGAGGTAAGTGGGGAAGGAAACTCCCTCCCCCCTTTCCCAATGCCGTTCCCCTTCTCAAGGTCTCTTTCCCATTCCTTCCCTTTGCTAGGATTTGATGGGGAGGTTTGGTGAGCATCCACCTTCCTTCCCAGAGAGCTTGACCAAGTTACATACTCTAGAGAACGTCCCGAGTGCCAAGCACGTTTATACCTAGGGCGTGTATTCTAGTCTTTTCTGTCATTCTGTGTGTATGTGTGTGTGTATGCGCGTGTGCGCACGCACTTATGTGTATGGGTCCATATGTATGTGTGTATATAATATATATTGTATGTGATAATATGGTCGTATTCTATAAATACATATACACAGAGATACTCCTTTGTAGACTTTCCTGGGGCTCCGTGTTGCAGTTCAGGACTCTTTGCTTCTTGGACCCTACTGTTTATCCTGGACGAGCTGGGGCTGGGGATCATGTCTCTTGTCAGACGCCAGAGTGGTGAAGAGGACACACACATATATTCATCCCTCATGCTCCTGCCACAGGCCCTCATTCTTACATAATGACTTATCTCTTTCCAGGATATTGGAGCTGAGAATTCTGATTTGTGGTGACACTGGTTTAACTCAGCATGAATTGCCCTTATCTAATGATTTTATTCTGTTTACTTTGCCAATTTGAGGAATAGACCTCCACTGTGACTCCAGACCCCTCTTCACTCTTTCTGTCCCTTGGAGCTTGGGGTCTGGGAGTAAAGATGAGCAGTCAGAGCCGAGAGCAATTGGTACGAAGTCTTAGAAGAAAGGAGAGGGAGCCCAGGTGTGAGAGAGAGAGAAAACAACTATGAGAATCCCTCCTTAGAATGAACTGGGGCCCCTACTTATTTTGCTAGAAAGTTCCTTTTCTTATGTAACTTGGCCCTGTCCACTTAAATGCCCATCTCCTCCTGCCTAGCAGCCTACCCTGGAGCTTAGGCTTGGTGGGCTCTGTGTCAATATAATGCTTAACCCCTGGCTGGCTAGGGCAGTTGCCTGCAATCACTGTTTGCCCCCTATTCACCCATCCTGTCCCTGTCTGCTCCCAGCCTGCCCAGCCTGATGTGCCAGGGATGGAATCAAGAGTCCCCAGCACTCCACATTCCCAAGAAAATCCCAGGAACCCCTAAACCTTCTATCCCAGATGAGGTTGGCAGCTGATCAGACCTCAATAATTTTATACTGTAATAATAAGCTCTTTGAATGTATATATTCTTATTTTTACAATCTTTTCATTTTGTATTTAACATCAATGGACTGAGTCAGATTCAGAAAATAATTGTAAATGTTCATATCAATATCTTATAGCGATACAGTTTTGTATTTACATATAAATATACCAACATGATCAAACCCTTTTAGCTTCATCAGTTTAGTAGCATTCTGGGCCGGGAAGGTGAGAAGGGGGTCCAAGAGCTGATCTGGGAGGGTTGGGGAGGCAGGGAGGGACCTAGGTATCTGAGACTTTCAGTTCTAAGAGCCATTTGCTTTATCCATAGAACACAGCCCTAGCTCTGGGCAGGCAAAGGAAACCACCAGTTGAAGGCTTGCTGGGTGCCAGTCTCTGTGCTTGGTGCTTTTCCCCCCATTACCTCATTCAAACCTGAAAATAATTGAGCGAGATTAGTATGTTCACTCCCTTCTATTTCTATATAGATGTGGAAGGTAAGGTTTGGAAGATTATAGTGATTTGCTGTAGAACTGGAGCTCAGGTTGGTTTGATGTTGGCCTCTTCACTGTGTTGCTCTTTTTCAAAGATCAAGATAGTGTTTTGTCCTTGGAAACCAGAGGGAATTTTTTTTAGCTCTCCTTTCAGAGTATGAGCTGTTCCTAAATTCCAGGTAGTTGATCCTGAGCCCATGCTGCATATAGGGTGACAGAGTTGGTGACTGATACTCCCAGGTAAGACCTCCTGGTGTAGGATCCTGAGGTCTGCAGAGTACCAAAGGGATCATTCTTGCAGGAAACACCATACATAGGGGTATACTGGTCTTTGTGGGAAGATCTTGAGTCATTCATTTGCATCTCTCTCTCAGAATGGAACCAGAAGCTTTGTCCATGTAGTACCATGCCCCATGCCATGTAGCTACTCCCTGTTGACCAGTGACAACCTGCCCAGTTGGGGCAGTTCTGGCCTGGAGAGTGTGCAAATATTGGGGTGTTTTTAAATAAAAGTGATAGCTAACGTCTACTGGGTCCTTAATTCTGTTCCACAAACTGTTCAAAGTGCTTTCTAGTTACTATTCACCACCCTCAGAACAATTTTTTGAGGTAGGTATTGATAAAACAAACAAAACTGAGGCACAGGAAAATTTAATTAACCAATCAAGAACCCCGATCATCTGATTGGAAATCACCTGTTGTTAACTCTTATACTAGATTCCCTCTAAGGATCCATCTCCTGATCTCCCAACAGATTTTTCGAGCTTTTTACTTTAATCAAGAGCTGAAGTGTAGAACAAAAGATTAAGCCAACGCTTTCCCTGGATGAGTGTGTTCTGTTGGGAGCAAGCAAGCATAAGAGGTGAACAGGGAAATCTGAGAAATTAGAGGGGTTTGGGAAAATATGGAGGAAACGAGATTAATGATAAGAGATCTGGAGGAGTTGGTCTTGAACTGTCTTTTGTTTGAAGAGGCTGTAACCAAAGTGTTCTGCAAATTCAGAAGTTATACATGAGTTGCACATCTGAGGATTGGTGAGGTTATAACTTGTAAGAGCTCCATAAAAGTGCAGATTCCTGGGTCCTGCCTGGTAGGTGGTTGAGTGACAGGATGAGCCAGGCCAGAAACACTTCCTGACTCTAAGGAAGGTTAGCAAACTGATGTTTCCTAAATCTGAGAGCAAGGGATCAATAGCTTTCCCCTACTGCCATAGTTTACTTGTAGCTTTTACCATTGTGAAGAGTGACTTCTCAAAATGTGAGCCTACCTGAGCTAGGTGTTTGAAGAGGGAAAGAAAGGGGAAGACAAAGAGCCTAGATCTGTTCAGGAAGTCAAGGCTCTCACACAGGAGGTTGGTGAACAAAGCAAGAGACTCTACTATCAAATGCTGGCCTATACAGCTGAGAGCATAAGATAAAGAAAAAGTGTTTGGGCAGGGGGGCAGGGAAGAGCACTGTGGGCCAACTCCGGCTTCTTCCCATTTGAGTGCTATTTTTTCAACTTACTGTCTCTAGCATTGGTCCCTTCATCGTGCCTGTCCTTGTCAGCTAGGATGGGACTCCTGCAGTAGTGTGCCCTGACACCCTCAGCTTAGGAAGCCTACCATTGTCAATCTCCATGTCACCACATGCAGGTGAATGACAGATTGGGACCAGTTCTTGGGAGACTGGACTATTTAGTATTGTAGCTTGAGGGAGATGAGACTCTTAAAAGCAGACATGCACACAGAAACTCACAGATCAGAGACCTGGGGGGAAGTGGGCCAGGAAGAAAGCCTTCCTAGAGTGACTGAGCTCTTAAGTAGTTTTGAGGTCTCACCACTCAACCCAAGCCAACTCCTAGCTTCCTTTTTGTAAAAGAAGCGGCTACATTAGATGATACTACCACAGGCCTTCCAGCTCTTTAAGGGGCTAGTTCTTTGATGGACAGTGTGAGTTCCTGTAGAGGAACCATCAGGCCCTTCTCTGGTTGGGTCAGCTCTGACTCCTAATCCCTAGTTTTAAGCTTGTTTTCAAAGTCTCTTCTTTCAAGCTGCCCCTTCCCTGTATTGTCTTAGGTCCCATCCCACTTGGCCCACAACTTGGAAAGCAGGTAGTCCCCAGGCCAAAGCCTGGGCCTTGAAGGTTTCTGTGCTACTCCATGTGGAGCTGACAGGGTGAGTCAGAGTCAAGGAATGAACCAACCAAGGTCCCAGAGTTCCCTGCTGAGGTTCTTACATTTGCCTTAGTCCTTGGTCACTACTCACAGACCACCGTTCTCTTAACAAGGGCAGGAACTAAAGCTCCCACTAGGGTGGGAAACAGATTTTCTCTTGGGGGGTATCTGCCCTATAGTTACCATCAAAACGGTTGTGAATATCAAGTGTTGTGGATTGTTACTCTTAACTGACCACAGAGGAGACTGGGTCTTCACTACAAAAGGAAGGACAGCACTCTCAGAAACCTGTTGAAGTGTTTATTCTCCCTCCACCACTTACCATCACTTTTATAAAAATCTATTTATAAGCTAAATCTGGCATGCTGCAGCCTTTTTTTTTTTTTTTTTCATTGAGTATAGCAGACATATGATGTTACATTAGTTGCAGGTGTACAACAGTGATTCAACTTCTCTTTAAGTTACACTGGCATGCTGCAGTCTTAAGCACCCATATTTTTTCCAGCCAAGGCCAAGGTGGACCAGAATCCTAGCTAGAAGTGTTGAATGGAGATTGGGAGCAGTGATCCTTTTTCACCTGTTCAGAGTAATATGTCTGTTATGGTTGTTAGGACTCAGATGGAGATGAAAAAAAGTAGAAAAGAAGGACAGTGAGATGTAGATAGAAGGTAGTCAAAAAAGGCACAGTGTCCCTTCCAACTCCAGGCTCACTTCCTTCCACCCCTTCCCCCACATCAGAAGCTGGCTACTTCTCTAAGCTAATGTAGTTGTCTAAAGCCTCAAAACTGGTCAGATGCTCAACTGAGCTTAGGTCAGTCATTTCATCCCGTCGGGTCTCCTTTGCTTCGCTGACCTTGAATATTCTATGGTAGCAGCCAGTGGATGTATGGAGTCTGACATTCAGGACAGATACTAGGCTGGAGATGTCAACTGGAGACTTAGTTTAGATAAAAGCTGGAGGTCTTGGAAGTGGGTGAGAACAGAAGGAGGAGGGCAAGAAGAGAGGAGAGACATTTGGAGTTACCAATGTTAAGGAGAGGATAAAAAGCCTGTGAACTATTCTGATTAATAGACAAATAACAGAGGACATGGCCAGGTTGTATTCTCCCAGCCTGGTCAGTGGAAGGGAGCAGTTAGGATGAATGAACAGGATTTGGAAATGTAGGTTCACTCGTGGTCTCACGGGGCAGGGGCTGAAAGGGAGGTGGTATGAATGGGAGGTGAAAGAGTGGAGACTGCAGTGCTTGGGCTGTCTCCAACCACAGCAAGGCCCCCGGTTATCTCTTCCATATTAGGACTCTGAGTAAGGTTGCAAGCAGACAAAGGAACCTGCTGCTTTACAAAAAAAAAAAAAAAGAAGAAGAAGTCACCAAACAACTGACATACCAAAAAAAATTTTTTTTTCTTTGAAAATGTAAAGCCAGGTAAACTGGGGAACATAATGTTCTACTTATTTTTTATTAATGCTCAGTGAAGGGAAGACATTTCATGGCCATAAGTAGCAATCTTGAAACCCACTAAAAAATTCCAAGCCTCCAAACCACCCAGAAATTAGAAACATGGAGTAGTACAAGCTAAGGCAGTTGCTTGCCAGAGAAATGGTTTCTTCACACAGTAGAATCCCACTGCGGGGTCTTTTAGGACAGTCCTGGGCTCTTCTCTCAGACTGCAAAACAAGGGAATTTGGGTGTAAAAGGCCAGGATGAGAGGGGATGGTGGGGAGATGAAGGAGAAAAAGGCCTGTGAATCCCCCTAAATGCTAGGCATACTTTTTTTTTTTTTAAGTAATCTCTATGCCTGATATAAGGCTTGAACTCACAATCCCAGGATCAAGCGCCCCATGCTCCACAGACTGAGCTAGCCAAGCACCGCAGGCACACTTTATTTTTCATCTCACAACAGCCCGCTGAAGTAGGTATTCTTATTCTTAGTTTATAGATAAAGGAAATTGAGAAGATAAATAACTTGCAAAAGACATCCAGCTAGCAGGTGACTAAACTGGGATTCCGACCAATAGTTGGAGCTTTTCCCCTTGAACCTATAGGGAGGCCTGGATGGGGAGTGGAGAGCAAGCCTCAAATGCCCCTCACCTGGGTATTCCCATACTGGCAACGGTCCTCTACAGCTGGCAGGGGTTCTGTCAGCAGGGTACTGGCACTGACACCTTTTTGGCAGAGTCACTGAAGTGCGGGCCCTAAATGTCTCCATCACCACCTACCATAAGCACCCTAAAGAACTAAATGAGTCCTTTCTGTGAATGAGGGTGTGCACACACGCACATGCGCGATGCCTATGAGACAGGGTGTCCTAGGTGTGGCAGTTCTGAGTGGTGGTGTGAGGTAAGGATGCATGTATGTATGTGGTTGGGAGAAATATCTTGTCTCTTGGAATATAATTTTTTTGGAAAGGACCAGAAATCATTTGGAACTATCTGGGGGACCAATTGCCCTTGGAATTAGGATGGTAAGGTAAGGTGGTAGGAAGGAGGCTGTTTTTCTCCACAAGTTCCAACTGGATCATGGGCCCTAGTGTGTATAGAG